ACAGATTGTGCAACACCTTCATTGAAACAGCCACCTCGCTGCTCCTATCTGCCTCTCCTACTGAGTGTGGTGCTCCAAAGGATTGAGCCCCAGACAGAACTGCAGCGTGGTGTGGCATAGATATTAATACATAACTGACTCTATCTCTCTCTCATTGATTGTTGAGTGACTCTCCAGTGACTTTCCACAGTTCCACCTGAATCGAGTACCCTCCACATCTTGGCTTGACTCTCTGTTGCATGTCTGACCCTACAACAGATTGAGTACCAGCCTTTGAGACAACACAGTAGTGTCATCCAGTAACACAGCCCCATCAACCAACAACACCCCTTGATCCCCCCACCACTGCCTCTACTGGCTATAGCGTGACTTCTCCAGTTTTCCCTGAAAGAATCCCTAACAGCCTTTGGCTCTGATACCATCTTCTCCTGCAGGTAGTGGTATACCTGCACCAGACTTGGCCACAGCCTTTGATCCAGTGGCAACAACAACCCAACAACTTGATATAAACCTTGATTACCAGTGCCTCAGTGCATTGCCCCTTGAATACACCCTTCTACATCAATCATCTCGCCACCTCACAAGCAACCTCCATTGCTTGCGTTGAAGCAACGACACTACAGTCAACACTCCAGGATACACAACTCTCCCACCAACCCACCTACCACCCACCATGACTTCCCCATGTCTACCCACAACTTCACTCAAACCCAAGGTCCTCCCAGACATCCCCCCACTCCCACACTTCACCCAACCAACCACATCCACCATCCTCCGCAGACTACACAACACCACTCCCCAGATGATCAGCCAACAGCTCCTAGAGCATGCAGCCATCTTGAGGATCACACCCTTCCGAATCACACCCTACCCTATCAGGAAGGATGCCTTTGTTCTCACCCTTGAACAGAGACACGCCTCTATCCTACAACACACCATCAACCATGCCACCTCCCAACTCCTACAACAACACTCCAACACCAACAGGATCTCCCCTCCTGCCCCTGGCACCAGCCCACTCCCAGTGCACCCTTATCCTCCTTCTATTGACTCAACAACCCCTCGAACAGCCCACAACACTCCAGCAGCCACTGTGCCTCCCTCCTGGGAACCACAGACTGCCAGTGTGTCATTTGACCCCATCTTTTGCCTGCTTGTTGGCCTCAATCTAACAATTTTTGTGCATTGGATGGGTTACACCCTGCTCTGGTCCAGCCTGAGGAGTACCACCTCCTATGGGCTCTGCTGGCATCTTGCCTTGCATGCCAAGGCACTTGCCACAGCTTGGGACCTGATCACCCAGACACACTTACTGGCGAGCACTCTTTGGTCTGGCAATCTATCTGGTCATCACGGCCCCTTTGGTGATAATGGTTTCAATACCGACAAAATCCTGTGTAAGCCCCTGTAACCCAGGTTTTGCGCTGCAGGTTCCCTTTCAATGTGCTCACCCCCCTACCCAGGGCATCTGTCTACTTGGTGCTGGCTCCACGTTGGGCCAGTGGATGAGGTCATGTTGATTGGGCAAACAAAGTAGAGGACGACTCAGCTAGGTGGGGATCTCCCCCACCACTTGCCCGCGTCAATAAAGTCACTCCGTGGCCAATAGCTTGTTAAGCTAAATGAGTAATTTAAACCCCAGTTTGACTGTAGATAATGCTGGAGTGGGTTGCTTCTTTGTGTTTTTGTCGAAACCCAGATCGTCTATGATCTGCTTGATCATGTGTGGTTGGGACAACTTGATTGTTCCGTTCTCCAAGGGCTCAACCTTCACTCCTAAGTAATCCGACAGGGTTCCTTCGTTCGTCATAACAAAAGCTCGGTGAGTACGACCATCCTTGTCGGTCACCGGCTTCGAAAGTAGGTTGTAGGCGTCGTCTATTTCCTGTGTCGAGGGCGCGATGAAGATCCCGTCGTCCACGTACACCAACAGTACCACCGATCCCTTAAAATATACGCACATGTGTACTGTGCTCTGCTTGAATCCTCTTGCCACCAGTCCATCGTGCATGTACCGGTTCCAGACTCTTCCAGCTTGCTTTTGCCCGTAGAGGTTCTTCTCGAGTAGGAGACAATCCTCTCCTTTGTACCTTCTCTTGTCGCTCGTCTGGACCAGCTTTGGCTTCCCTGAAGATCGATCGACACTGAAACCTTGAGGAATCTCCATAAACATCTCACACTCAATATCAGCTCAAGGGAACGCTAGGACGAAGTCGACATGTCGTGAGTGCCATCTGTTGATCAGCATGAGGATCAGAAATATCCTGATTGTGGACCAACCTACTACTGGGGAGTACGTTTCCCAGTAGTTGACGTTCTTCGTTTGGTTTCCTCCATGCACATTCAACCTTGCCTTCCACTTGTATATCTCTTGCGTGGCAATTCTCCTCTTCCTGCGGAATGCCCACACGGCTGGAGCGTTACTCAGTCCTGGGTGGTTAAATCCAAAATGCCCAAAATTAGGGGCAGATTTTAGGGGCAGGTTTCCATTAGGGGCAGATTTCAAACCTGCCCCTAAAAATGTCGGGAAGTGAACAAATGACAATCCGCTGTAATGGTCCACAAAAACGGTGCTCACTGTGTACCTCTTCCTGGTCAGGAAGCCTTTCATCTGTCCGATCAGGCCTGGAGATGACGAGATCATCTGATCGACCCCCACAATCGCTCGCCCCAGGAGAGTTGGCTGACAATGACTTGGCTTGGTTGTTTGGCGTCCGATTCCTCCATGGCCTCCTGGTTGCCTTGCCGAACATGCAACTGGCACACTTCGGTATCCTCGCACTTGCCAGTCCTGATGGTAAGTCTCCTCTCTCAGCGAGCTTGCGAATCCTTTCGAAGGAAAGGTGTCCCAGTCGGTAGTGCCACGCCAGGATATCCGCTTCTCCGGTCTTGTATTTGAGGTACCGATCATCTGTCACCGGCTCCTGCTCTATCTTGTGTAAGTCTCTCTTCATTTTGAACGCATCGGTCACGTTGCTCTGGAACTGATCGTTTTTGTTCTGTCCTGCAGCCGCGTCCTCAGGCAGGTCTGGATGCAGTCTCGCTACCGGCGACTCAGAGCTGTCCGCTGATGACACAGATGAGTCATCATCCGTCTCAACGTCCGAAACTGCGGCTGCTGGCATTGCTAGCAGTTCAAACTCGTTCAGTGGACCTCGCCCTACCTCATCACGTGCTTGTGCGCAGAACGTGTGGAGCTTCGAGAATGCTGGTGCACTGCGCAGTAGCGCTATGCTGGTGCACTGCGCAGTAGCGCTATGTTGCTCGAGAGTGATAGCTTGATCACTCTCTTGAATGACCCTTGCTTCCAAAACAGTTCAACGGTGTCTTCATATGTCACGCACCATGTTCCTCTTTGCCTTGGATAGTTGTCGTCTGATACTTGCGCCCAGTGCTGAGGTGACAATAGCCGGAACGGTGTGGCTGCGTTGTAGTAAGTGTTGGGGATGAGGAAGTGATGAACCTTGCCTTGCTCATCCTCAATGAACCATCTGACTGTTCCCTTGAACATTGCTGTGACTGATCCTCCAATACCTTGGACTGACACTTTGACTGGCGTTGGCTTACCAATGAAGTCGCGCATGCAATTCGTAATGCACCTTGAGGAGCAGTTGTCGATTGCTATGAGCACGGAGTCACTGTCATACTGATGGTCGTTCGCATTCCCATTCGTGGTACCGTTGAGCGACCAGATGACCAGGCTGAGTGCTATCATTGGGTTTCCTTCCTCGGCGACAATGCCGATTCCTGCTTTCAGAGCGTGGATGAGCCTCATGAATAACTGGAAGGTTGTTGGCGTGGATGCATCTCGCGGATGTGTCAAATCCCACAGCGTCATCTGAAACTGCCTCTTGGGTGTCCTATTCGCCCTGAACGATGAGCTGTCATCCTCATCAACATCTGACTGTGGATTGTCTCGATCGGCATAGCTTGCTGGGACTCCCACTGAGTGCTCGATTGCCATCTGATTCAGTGCGAGGATAATGCGTGCTGCCTGAGCTGTTCTATTTGCGACTTGCATGAGGGTGCTGGCTACTGCCACTGGTACGCCCTTGATCCTCCTGATGACTGGCTTCAGTCCTCGTTTTCTCTTCGGGACGTACGTCGTTCCTTCTGAGGGAGTACCCGCCCACGACAGTAGGCACCGCATCGTGACAAGATACGTCATGACTTTTCCCAAATTTGGTGAGTACGACAAGGTCAATTGCCGTTGCGATAGCTACCGCACCGATGATCTGGGCTAGTTGATACATCAACTGGATTGGGTGAATGAAGATGGTAGCGTACACTAACCATGACATCCAGTGTTTGCGACAATACCATTGTGGATTGATTAATCTAACGATCTAAGAGATGTAATGTTTGTATTTCCAAATAAGTGAGCAGTTATTGATTATTTTCTAGAATAAGCCTGCTAATTGTAAAGCTGTAAAGCTGAATTGTAAGCTGTATCCCGTCGCAAGTGTTGTTGAACGTGATTGCCCAGGGAACGATGAATTGTCGGTTCTCAGCTGCTAGAATACAAAGCATTGGCGAAAGCCTAGCTTCTTCTGCTGCGTCATCAAACATCATCTCAGCCTGGTGCAAGACCGTCCTCAGCTGCTCGACCCTACGTCGACTGATGCGGCTAGTCTTGCAATGAGCTGGGCTAAGAGCAGAGTGTGGAAAGCACAAATAACAAGAAGTTGATCACTATAGTGATTACAGCAAGCTATCAATTTGGCTACCATTGCTCCACTCCGCCACCATCAGGGGTTGTCATCCACGGTGGCTGTTCCCACGCCGTTCATCGTGTTGGCCAAGGCGTTGGCCAAGGCGTGAGCCGCAGACCCTCCTGCCTGCTCCTGTCCAGCCGCAATGGCTTCTTTCTTTTTGGTGCATCCAGTCTTGTGGTCGATTCCTTTGTCATTGACTCTGAGGACCCACTTTGTTGTATCATGGTACGGACAGTAAATGTACGTCTTTCCATTGACTGTCTTCTCATGTGGCTCGCCCTGCTTTGGTTCCACCATCTTCCAGGCATACTTGTCGGCGTACCTGGACTGCCTATCGTCCTTCTTCGCCGCTCCTTTGTCGGAAGCTTGCTTGGAGTCTGGCTTGTGGATCATGTTGACCTTTGACTTGAGGGCGATGATCTCGAGCTTGTCGTCTTCCATCTTGGACCTCAGAGCGATGATCACGAGCTGTTCGTCTGACTTCTTCATCCAACTGTCCTTGTTGATCATCGCTTTGTACTTCTCAAGAGCGATGTGCATCAGGGTCTCGTACTGAAGCTCAAGAGAACCATCCTCATATGCATCTTGTTTCCGAGCCATGTACTTGACGAATGCCACATCGGCGTAGTTCGCATATCCATCGAACAGGCTGAGCAGCATTGGTGGTGGTTCCACACTGCGTGACTCCAGTTGATCAATCAGGTCCTCGACGATGAAGTTGAAGTCTTCGATGTTGGACTTGGCCTTCTCCATGATTGAGTCAAGGTTCATCAGTTTCTTGTTGAGGACCGATACGGTTGCTTTAGTTTCGACAGATACCATCCTAATGAGCTCGAAAAGCATACACGTCCCGTCTTCCTTGATGATGGGGTCTGGCTCTGGAGCACCGTCTGCAGCTGGCTGGGCTATGTTTACAAGGTAGTTGTCAACACGTGTTGTGAGTCGATTGGCCAGCTTCGGAGTGATCGACGCAATGAGTTTGCGCAGACATGCCGAGGCTTGATGCTCTCGCTGTTGCTGTCTCAAGTAAGTTATCGCGTGAGCTCTCACGTTTGCCACAGTCAAACTTCCATGTTGCGTGGTGATGTTCTTGCTCACTCCTTGTGAATTGTTGATCATCAAGATGGTGGTCCATCCGTATGATTCGGCACGTTGAAAGATCTTTCGCAAGAAGTCCCGAAGTCCAGTTTGATTTCCGTCGTAGAGAATCTTGAAAGGTGTAGTCGACGCGATAAAGATCTTCAATCCCGTCGCTGACGTAAAATCCCATGGTTGATTTCCGGCTCCAGCTGGGTTGATTGCGAATGCGACTGGAGGAGGCGGTGGCGGAGGCACCGGTTGCGGTGGGCGCAGAGCATCAAGGACGTTTTGGTTCTGCAACGTGGCTGCTACCGCATTTGCCACTGCCGTCTCGACGAGTTGACGGATCTGTTCGGCGTCCATGATTTGAGGGTTTTGCCTTGCTTGCGTTCTTTCTCTCCTTCTTCTGATCCGGTCACGGACTATACGGAGTTGCTGTTCTGCCTGACGAGCTTGTTCAGCTCCTCTTACAGCCATTTCTTGTCTGTCAGGAAACTGACCTTGATCTTCTGAACTTGAGTCAGAAATCTTGCTTGTTGCCTTTCAATATCTTGAAAGGATTTGGGCGCCCTCAATCGAAAGATGTGAGGGTCTGATGGTCGACAGTCCACCAAATTCCGAGGTGCTCCGTATCAAATACTAAAGTAAGTGAGAGGAGTTGCTCGAAGTATGCAGCATGCGCAGAGGAAGCGTGAGAGTTCGTTTGCTATATTGTGACTACAGTACTCATTAAACTATCTAACTCCTCAACTGTTTCAACACCAACATTTCATCTCCTTATCAGTTGAATTTACTATTTCCTTGCAGGATTGGAAGCAGGCTGTTCTTCCAGGTTGTTGAGGATCTTATGATCTCTCACAATCTCACAAGCGTGGGGAGAAGGAGTACATCGAATTCCTCAAGTGTCGCGAAGATATGAGAGAAAAGGTCTCTAAGGAGGTGTTCGGGTGTCCATATCTGGAGGAAAAGGATCTGGAAACAATCATTAATGAATGCGACGCCAACCACAAACGTTGGGCGAATGTTCTCGAACAGGGGATGAAGTCTTATCGTAAGAGCCTGGGCAGGGCTGTGGCGGGCGATATCGACAAGATCATGGATAACCTCGTCTCTTCGGATAGAGATAAAAATAAAGTCACCGCAAAGGTCGATGCGGCGCTGGGATTGGCCGCTGAGTTGAACACAGCGCCGATCACGGTGCCGGCGGAATCGCAGAATGATGACTTTTTCTGCGCCAATTCCACCGGCGTCTCAGAATTGGGGCAGTCAATTGATGGGTCGAGGCTCAGCCTGGGATGTTTGAACACGGGAAGAACCGCATCCGAACGAAGTCTTTCCTTTTTCCCGAGGGGAACAAGCTGTTGGAGCGATTGAATGGTAAGGTGACTTCAGGCCAAGCCCAATCGCACGCCAATCGGCTTCGTAAGGCCCAGTTTCAACAACTCTGGCAGGGAGGCGAATTCGGGATTTGTGGCCTTTTTGGCAAGTACGTGTTCAGAATGTAACCCAAAAGAGGCTTTTGCAGGCCAACCAAATTTGTTGTATTGGTTTCGCAGTTTAATGGGCGGTTTAATGGCTTGCCGTTGTTGTTATCTTCATTGCCCGCTTGTCCCATTTCTTCCAGAATGTTCCCCAAAAGGAGTCAAGGTGGTGTATGGGTGGGCCAATCAAACACACTCTTGTTCAAAAAGCCGAATTCGGTGCCCTGCAAAAACCTATCTCGAGAGTTTGCAGCAAACCGAAT